CCACATCCCTTTCCATGGGTTATGGGCCTTACCCTTTGGCCCACTCAGCCTTGCATTTCTGACCTCTGTCCTCTCTCTGCCTCGCTGTCTCTGCTCCAGCCACACCAGTTCTCCTGCTGCTTTTTGAACTTGCCTGGGACATTCTTCCCTCAGATATCTGCGTGGCTCCTTTTCTCCCTTCTTTCATGTCTCTGCTCACATTTTACCTCCTCGGAGCACTAAGAAGCATTGCTGTAGGGAAGTAACAAAGACCGTAAGCAGATAGTTGCTGTATATAACACTGTTGAGTTAAGAATGGGCAGAGTGGGAAGTACCAGCTGCCCAGGGAGGGGCATCAGATCTGAGTGAGTGTGTGAGTGTGCTTCAGTTCAGTTCAGTCGCTCAGTCGTGTCCGACTCTTTGCAGCCCCATGAACCGCAGCACGCCAGGCCTTCCTGTCCATCACCAACTCCCGGAGTTTACTCAAACTCATGTCCATCAAGTCAGTGATACATCTCATCCTCTGTCGTCCCCTTCTCCTCCTGCCTTCAATCTTTCCCAGCATCAGGGTCTTGTCAAATGAGTCAGCTCTTCACATCAGGTGGCCAAAGTATTGGAGTTTCAGCTTCAGCATCAGTCCTTCCAATGAACACTCAGGACTGCTCTCCTTTAGGAGGGACTGGGTGAATCTCCTTGCAGTCCAAGGAACTCTCAAGAGTCTTCTCCAACACCACAGTTCAAAAGCATCAATTCCTTGGTGCTCAGCTTTCTTTCTAGTCCAACTCTCACATCCATACATAACTACTGGAAAAACCATAGCCTTGACTAGATGGACCTTTGTTGGCAAAGTAATGGCTCTGCTTTTTAATATGCTGTCTAGGTTGCATATGTATTTATTTATTTTTGGCCGTGCTGGGTCTTCGCTGTTTCCTGTGGGTTTTCTCCAGTTGCAGTGAGTGCGGCCTAGCTCTTTGTTGCTTGGGTTTCTCATTGCAGTGGCTTCTCTTGTGGAGCACAGGCCCTGGGTGCATGGAATTCAGTAGTTTCAGCACACAGGCTCGGTAGTTGTGGCTCTTGGGCTTAGTTGCTCCGTGGCATGTGCAGTCTTCCTGGACTAAGGATAGAACCCGTGTCCCTTGCATTGTCAGACGGATTCTTATCCAGTATGCGACCAGGGAAGTCCTGTGAGTGTGTGTTTACGTGCAACACTAAAGGGTTTGGTAGAGTGGCATTGACAGAAAAAGCCAGCAGAAAGAGGTAATAGCTCAGGTAAGCTTTGAGGAAAGGAGCAGAGATTTTAAGAAAAATAATCTTAGCTACCACTTATGGTAGTATGGTAGTATTACACACCTGTAGTGGTTAATCACAAAGAGTCGGGCATGACTGAGCAACTACCACTTACTTACTTAGTGGTTAATAAGTAAGAGTGATCACTTATTCTTCTTAGCATGTTTCAGGGCCAGTACTACTCATTTTAATTTCTATTTCACTTATTCAGTACATTACCTCATGCTAATCCTCACACATCTCTGTGAGGTTGGTATGGTTATTCTCCCCATTTTTCAGATAAGAAAACTCAGTTGTAGAGGTCATTTGCCAAAGGTGACACAGCTAGCAAATGTCAGCTGTGAAATTTGGATTTTTCTTCAAAGACTAATCTATTAACTATACAAACACTATTCTGCCTCTCCTCTTAAGGGGGTGTGTGTGTGTGTGGTGGGGGGGCGCATGTATGTGCATGAGAGGGAGGGGGCCCACCAACTGTGTGTTATTATTAAAGTATACAATAGGAGGTGGGGAAAATAAGGGCATATGAGACACAAGGCTGGCAGGGTAGGCATGGTTCTGCTTCCATTTCCTAGATTTAAGTATCAGGCTTTTCCTTTTTCCTCTTTCCTCACCCCCCAGGGGTGAGAGTTTCTAAGTAACAACTTTTGGAGTTATCCAAAGAGAAAAAGAATGCTCTTAGTTTCAGGTGCAGCTGTGAGGCCTCAGAAGCTGAAGTGAAGCCAGCAAGTTGAGCTGGGCTCCTGACTGTGATTGCTGGAGTGCTAGGAGATCCTGAGCTGGGCAATTCAATTCACCTCCATCCACCCTTCCTTTTGGGGGGACCATCTCACTGATGATGAGCTCGGGGTGGGAGGAGAGCCCAAGCTGAGTCCTGTTGGTGTTCCTGTGATGAAGAAATCACGTGCACCCTTTCAAGGTGATGAGGCGACTAAACAATTTTGAGAAACTCCAGCTGGAAATCTGATTAGATGACATTGACTGGGCCAGGGAGGGGTTGGTTGCAGTCCCCCACACCTGACCTTGCATAATGTAGCATGTCCCCGGATGGTGACATGCAGTACTCCATGTACTGTGTATTAAAAGGCTGTATTGACTTATTCCTCACAGGGAACCAGCTCTGACCTGCATTTTACAGCAGCTGTCTGCTGCACTGTTCAGTTTCAAGCGCGAGGTCAGCCCGTCCCAGCGTCTTTTCCTTTTGTGACAGTGTTATAAAAGAAAACGTTCCTTAATTGTTCCCATTCGCCCTCATCTGGGTTTGATATCCTGCTTGCCACCTAGGCCTTTAAGAGAGCTCCTGTTGATCATACCCTTCCTCAGTTTTTATTTGTTTAAATAAAATATGGAGAAAGGTAAAGTGTTTGTGTGTAAATTGCAAACCTGCGTTGTCCATTATGGCAGCTGCTAGCTACATGTGGCTCAAGTGGCTAGTCCAAGTAAGATCTCCTCTAAGGGTAAGATACACAGTAGATTACAAAGGCTCCATGCCACAGGAAAAAGAATGTAAAATACCTCATTAAGAATGTTTATTTTGATTACTTAGTGAATGACAGTATTTTGCTTTATTATATTAAAGTCTGATACTAAAGGGTTTCCCAGGTTGTGCTAGTGGTAAAGAATTGATCCCTGGGTTGGAAAGATCCCCTGAAGGAGGGCATGGCAACCCATTCCAATATTCTTGCCCAGAGGATCCCATGGACAGAGGAGCCTGGCGGGCTACAGTCCATGGGGTCGAAAAGAGTCGGACGTGACTGAAGTGACTTAGCCTACAGATGAAACTAAAGTTTATTTCCCCATTTGTTTTTTACTTTTTGAATGTAGCTATGAGAAAATTTAAAATTATAAGTGTGGCCTACATTTGTGGTTTGCAGTATAATTTTGTGGGACAGCCCCTCTCAGCGTAACGAGATATCTGTCTGCTGTAATCCATTCTTGGAGCAGAAGATCAAGTGAATTAAAAATTTCCCATCCTCTCCTCACCCTTTGACTTTGTGGTCCTGGACCCACTAATTAAATCCTGTTCGGGTATTAGGCACTGGGACTATTGATCACCAGGTGGCTGCTAGTTGACACTTGGCCTCATTTTTACCATCCTCAGGCCTTTCTCCGGGCTCCTCAGCAGACTGTTTTCAATCTGCCAGCCCTAACTGTGAGCCATCTCACAGGTCTGACCTCAGCCGTCTTTTGCTTCCCTCCCCTTCTCACTTTACACTTCTCTTGGTTGATTCTGTCCATGTTCATGGCCTCATTTACCATCTTCACACTGATAATATACAAATTTGTGTCTTCTGCGCCAATCCCTCTCCTGACATCATTAATTCAGCTGCTGGATGGATGACTGCAGTGAGTTGCCCTGCAGGTCCCTCAAAGCTCAGAATGTCCTCAGTGGGACTCTGACTCTTTGTCCCGTGTTTGTTTCTGTCCCATTTCGTGTTCAAGTCTTAGGAGTCGTGGTAACATCCATCCATTTCTCCAAGGCAGGTACCCAGGCAATAACCACCTTGGTGCCTCTCTCTTACATCTCTACGTCTAGTCAATACCCAGGCTTCATCAGTTCTGCTAAATCTTGTTGGATCCACGCTCTTCTCACCACATTCTCTGCTACTGCCGTGGCTCAAGACACTGTTTTCTGTCTATCTCTGTGTGCCTTAGTTTCCCCACTTCCTTCCTCTTGGCCTCTAGTCTTACTTCCCTCCAATACAACCAAGATGATCTTTGTAGGACATAAAAGTCCTTGCTTTTAGGATCAAGTCCATATTCCTTTATATGGCCTACAAGGACCTGTGTTTTCTGGATTCTGCTAGCCTTTCTAGCCTCCTCTCTTGCTTTTCTCCCCACCAGCCCCAGTTGCCTATCACTAGCCAAACTAGACTTTATGCCTCACAGGACTCCCTCCCTTTCTTTGCTGGCTTTCTCAGTTTAGGTTAAGCATTCCCAATGTGCTCCAGGCTTCCTCTCCCACTGTTCTGATGCTGTTGCCGGACCGTGACTCTTGGTTTAATTGTCTTTCCCTGCCCTTTAGTCTGTGAATCCAGGAAATCAGGGAGTCTGTCTTTCTTGTTTATCTGTATCACAAGGGCCTGTGCAATGTCTAACTCATGCCAAGAACTTTAGTAAACCTTTGTGGAGTAAATGAATAGCTAATTCAACTATTGGAGGTGGTTATAACATTGGATGAACTTCCCAGGTGGATCAGTGGGTAAAGAGTCTGCCTGCAGTGCAGGAGATGCAGGTTTGATCCCTGGGTTGGGAAGATCCCCTGGAGGAAGGCATGGTAACTCACTCCAGTATTCTTGCCTAGAGAATTGCATAGACAGAAGAGCCTGGTGAGCTATAGTCCATAGGGTTGCAAGGTGTCAGACACGACTGAAGTGACTGAGCATGCACGCAGGCATAACATTGGACAGGAAGTGGAAGTTGAACTCATATCCTTTGGCTCCTTGCCTGTGGGTGGGGTATGAGCACAGCCACTCAGAACACTGCTGGCTGGCTACCGCGCTGGACTGGCTTCTGCTCCACCCGCTAGCTGTTCACTGTTAGTGACTGGATTGTGGGGAGGTAGAGAATCCTAGCAATCATTTGTGAAATAAAGTGAAAGTTCAGTTGCTCAGTCAGAGTAGTTGCCACTCCCTTCTCCAGGGCATCTTCCTGACCCAAGGATTGAACCCAGGTCTCCTGCATTGCAGGCAGATTCTTTACCTTCTGAGTCACCAGGGAACTGGCACATACTGCTGAAAGATCTGGTGGGGGAAAGAGTTCACATTTAATGACTCAGAATAATTTTTATTTGTGTCTGTGTGTATCTGGGATTACCTGAGCTTCCTAAGACCCATTGGCAAACTTGGAACACTTTATGATTGAAATGTACATGAGATAAGATCCTCGTGGGAACCCTTCTCTTCTGTCTGTGCAGCATTTACCTGGCACTCCCAGGAAGGTATATTTAATTTCCAGACAGTTGCAAGCAACAATGGCCAAGTGTGAGATGGAGATAGTTACACAACATGATACATATAAATGGGCTTTGTTTCTCACCTAACAGTGTATTTCACGTCTCCTTGAAGATGTGATTTAGAGGTGTTCTCTAAATTAAATAAACATTTAGTGTCCAATTCGTTCTCACTTCCTTCCTCTGCAGGAAGACACAAGTGGCCTCTCACTGTGCTTCTGGGCTGTGTTTGCACTGCGTCTGCACTGCATCCCACCAAGTTGCTCACAGCTTTGACAAGGTCTGAGGATTTGACAACGTTTAGGTCTGGTACAGCAGAATGATGAAACAGGGAGTGCTGGTGATCAGAATATGCGTGGTGGTTTGGGACTCAGCTTCACACTGAACCCCTTTCAACTTGCAGTGCGAGACTCTGTGGTCCATCTGGAAGGAGCCATAAAGCTTCTTTTGTCATCTTGTTTCAGTACCTAGAATACATTCAGAAGATCAGAAGTGGGTTTCTCTGTACAAAAAAACATGTGTTTCCCATCAGCAGACAGCAGACTCCTTTGTAGCTGGATTCAGAATCTTTGTTGTGGATTGCTCCTGGCATTATCTCAGCTTTTGCAGGTCTGGGGGTGACTCCTTTTCATTTCTCTGCCTTCTCTTTAACAGCAAGATCTACTTCATCCTGATACATTTTTTAACACCAGTCAGGGTGTGGCTTGTTCCCTTGCGAAGGTGTTCCCTGATGCCCACCACCCCAGTCTCCTACTCTAATTCCCAGTTTATGTGTTAGAATCTTATTTAGATAGATGGAGCCAATTGAGTGGGCCCTGCTGAAGAGCCATATTCAGTTAGTGTAAATCTTCCTTCTGGAGTTGGAGACAGCGAGGTCTCCTGGGATTTTGTTGGGAAATCTTATTGGATTTGCAAGACTTAAGTTAATATAGAAACCCTCCCCAAATACTAAAGGGCCTCATTTCTTTGCCTTGAAAGATGTTTTCAGAGTCTGTCTCAAGACTCTTGTTGATAAGGAAGTTACTTCTAATATTTCAAGAAAAACAGAACACACAAAGCCTTCTATTTTCTTAATACTTTGCCTCTCCGTGCCCTTCATCTCTTTAGTGTCATTTTAATGCTTTTACTCTTCATTTCTTTCCCTTTTTCTCTTACTCACTCATTAACCTTAGGCCTCTGTTGCAAATGGACTTAATTAGTAACCCTGAAACTTGGTAGTGATGCCCTTAAGGGAAGAGTCTTTCTTCTTTCATTTCTCCCCCCTTTGGCGAGCAGTGCATGTCTCTTACAGACGTAAGTGAATATGTTTCATGATGAAGTATGTTTTTTCCTAATCAAGTGAGCATCTCCTTGCTGATATAAAGGGTACAGTTCTGTTGCTCTGAGAAGCAGCATCTAACAGAAGAAAGAGTGTTGGCTTTGGAGTCAGAACCATTTAGAAACCCTGCTCCACCTTTATTTTGAGCACATTATATCACTGCTCTGTATTTCTATTAATTTGTCTGTAATACGGGGATAATAATATCTACCATGCCATGTTAACAGTTAAGAACAGTATATATACTATAATAAGTACCTAGCATATAGTGGACATTCAAATGGTAGTTCTAAACAACTACAGCCAGGATCTTTGATAAATATCTATTTCCAGCCTTCTTGAGTCCAGGAGCCTTTGTAAACCTTTATGCCTTCAGTAAACTATATCTTGTGTTTCAAAAACTCAAAGACACGTAAGACAGTAGTTAAAACAAAATCCAGAGTTTCCCAGGTCTTCAGTGATGTTTTTAAAAGGGAGGTTTTGAGGCAGGAAATAGATCTCTGGAATCATCTTTAAGATTTTTGTGTGCTCATGGTAATTAGCTTCATAAAATGCATGTCCTCAAAGATGTGGGTGGATGTGTAAACAAGGAAGCTGGTGTTACAGGAACCCACGCATCATGGAAGGCCCAAACGACTCCCTCTGAGGAAGAATGTCCCTGGGACGTGGGCTTTAATCAACATGAGAAGCCATCATGGGGACCCCAGGCCAGTAGTAATATTTCTACTGGCGGCAGAGTGATACTGTAGCTGCTTTGGCTGAAAAATATGGATTTTCTACTCTCATGGTAACAGATGGTGGTGAAGGGGTACATAGTATCTGTTATGGGCTGCATGTTTGTATGCCCTCCAAAATTCATAGGTTGAAACCCTAGTCTTCCGTCTGATGGTATTAGGGGATGGAGCCTTTGGGAAGTAATGAGATCTGAGGGTAGACCCTGCATGATTAGGTTAGTACCCTTGTAAGAAGAGATGGGGAGGGTGTGCTTCCTCTCTGTCTGTCTCTCTTTCTGGCTTTATCTCTCTGTCTCTCTCTGTCCTTTGTCTCTGTCCTCATCTCTGTTTCTGTCTGTCTCTCTCCTTTTTCTCTTGGCCCTGTGAGGATCCATCAAGAAAGTGGCTCTCTATACACCAGACAACGGATCTGCAGCACCTTGATCTTGGATTTTCCAACCTCCAGAACTGTGAGAAATAAATGTTTATTTAAACCACCGGTCTATGTTATTTTTTTTTTAGCAGCCCAAACTGACTAAGACAGCAACAAAGGGGGCTGTGGCAAGTAGTATGTTATTCAAATAAAGTATGTAGACTTTATTGCAAATCTGAAATGGAAATAAAGTCAAGAGTCTGCATTTATTTATAATAAACTTTGTGTGTTAAGTGGGCTTTTCTATTCTCATGTTTTACTGTGTGTTGAAATAATAAACATTTATGATATTATTATGGCTTGTAGTGTTTTCACCATTTTATATGGATTGTCCTATTTATTCTTCACCATGGTGCTGGGGAAGGTATTATTATTTTCAGTAGCATCAAGAGGTTAGAATAAAGATTCCACAAGGGCACTTGGTAATGTGTCAGTGGTCTCTGTCTTCTGAGATTTCAGTATTTCAGTGATGAAAGGGCTGTCTGCTCGTTCAGGGAGACAGCCTCCTGTTAGTGTTATGAGCCACGGATTGTGTGCCTGGGATTCTCCGCACAAGGTAGGTGACCACGTGCACACCTTCCAATTGTTCCCATTACCTTAGAACATCCACAGTCTTTATCACATCTATAAGACCCTGTATGATTCAACTTCATCTTTTGTAATTCACCCCATATCTATCTTTTTTCCTTAATCTGCTTTGTTTCCACATAGCAGGTGTTGCTATGTTTAGAACAGGAAGATCCAGCTACAAACGCCAGGTGAGGAGTCTTACCACATGGATGATGGCAAAGAGCATGACAATGCCAACCCACAGACCTTAGCTCACTGCAGCACCTTTGCGTTCCAAGTTTCCAAGGAGGACTAAATACACAAAGTTCTGGTTGGAACAGTGCTTTACTTAGAAAGGAGAAATGATGCAGCAGGATCAGCATCTGTGGTGTGTCCTTGTCTCTCATGGCCAGCGAGTCACTCCTGATAAGTGACACATGGGATGGACTGCATATACCCCGCTGAAGTTGAAGACCCCATTCTCTTCCTGTGGAGAGGGCAGAGGGCAAATATACTGGTGGGGCTCGCCAGGTGCCAAATAAAACACATGCTTAGGCAATACAAGGAAGTTCACTGCCTCCCGGAACAGGGGGTGATTTCTCCTAATGAGGAAGACTGTCAGGCCAAGTAGCAGCTTGGCACCTGGCCTCCATATAAGGGACTGTTCCAGGCCCAAAGCACCCACTGGCAATCCTGGGGAGAGGATGCAGGTCATGCAGTGGCTGCTACCCCAATAGTCCACCCCCTGCCCTCAGCGTGATGCTAAGAAAAGCAACGCTTGTCACACTCAGCAGGATCATTGCCACCCTGCGCGTGAGGCAGAGAGATGTTCTGTGTGGTTCATGCCCCACAGAGCCCCACAGAGCCTGCACAGTGGAAACAGCAGGTGATCAGGGCCACTAACAGGACCTTCTGAAGAGGTCAGACTTTCTTGGGAGTATGACACTCAGCCAAGAGCCCCAGATGTCAGAGTTTAGCCAGCTGGAGAGGTCAAAGTGAATGTAAAGGAAACTCTGGATTTACTGATGATAACCATCCTGCTTTGGCATGATTTTTCTCCACCTCGTTCTTTACTTTCCCCAAATTGTTGATGTACACACAGCAAGAGGTGTTGGCTAGAACACCCTGTTCTGCCCGTAGGTGATCCCACAGGGATCTGGTTACTCATCAGCAACTTGGCTGGTGAGTTCAGTGAGCCCTGTTGGTCCTGAATGGCCTGGATGGTGGAGTTAGCCATTTCTGCCATGGTCAAGGAGAGGGTGGGTATCATCATTTCTAGGGCCTGTGTGCTATCCTGGTATTTAATTTCAGACAGTTGAGTGGATGTCACCTGCCACTCTTCGATGGGCCAGCAGAGTGGGGACCCTCTAACCTGATATGTAGTTACGCACCCAGATGTTAGGTCTAAGACCCTGAGGCAACAAGACTTCTCCAGGGGAAAGGCCACAGCCCATCAAGGACCACAAAGAAGCATATCTCAAGTGAGAGCCAGTGACTCACACTAGGGAGTGGTTGTTATATATCATGGACTAATGCAGTTATAACCTTGTCTCTGCCTGGTGTTGCAGTTTGTGGCTTGAAGAGACAGCTTACCCTTTGCCCAGATACCTGTGTGAGTCAGCAACACCTGGCTCCCTGCAGAGTCCTTTCCAATTGTGTTACAGGTGCCATTAACAGAGGACAGTGGAGTGATCCTGCATCTGAACTCGGATCAGTAGAGTCACTCAGTGGACAGATCCATTGATGGCCCATGTCCTTAAGTTTCAGCCAGGCCACCAAGGTGGGAGTCTGAGGCAATAGAACCCTCAGTCTTGGGTGGCAGATACAGCTTTGTTTCAAGGCATCTTCCTTGGCCATAGCAGTGATGACTCTGATGAGGGTGTTGTCAATCTAGGCATCACCATGGGTCTTGGGAAGGAAGAGAGAGGTCAGTGTCCCAACCCCCCAAACCCCATACCTCCTAAGGCAAGAGACACTCCTTTTGTCACTTGAAGCATGGAGTGTCTGGGGATGGCCACCCAGGCTGTCTGTCCTAACCCAGGGGCCATTACTTCCTCAGGAACCTATTGCTTTTGCTGTTGCCTTCAGTCCTTTCAACCCATCATTCAGTCCAGGCAATGAAGTTATTTTTTGTACAAACTTGGCATGTTCTATAGCATCACCTGTACAGAGGGGTTGGGAGTTCCTGATGCTGCTAGGGAATCGCAGTACTGTGGTATTCTGTGACCACCTCCCCCCCCCCCGCCAACCACCTTTAAGAGCCCAGGGCACTCCATCAGCTTTCAGTTTGGCAGAACCATTGCTCAATCAGTCCATGCTTTCAGAGGTGGTCCCTGGGTGCTAGGGAAGGGGCCAGGGCATCCCTGCAGACCACTCTGTTCACGCCCTCATGGTGGCTACCTGCTCAGGTCCTGGCTTGGATTGTTTTGGGATGATAAATTGGTAGAAATCCAAGTCAGGAGCAGAAATCCAAGTCAGGGTCACATAAGGTCCTTTGATGGTGATGGTGAGAGATTTCATTTTCACCAGAATCCAACAGCAGTGAGAAGCTTCAGTCCAAAGTATTTGTATTGGGCAGTGGCTTCAGGCAGCTTGCAGGTCAAGAGTCCAAGAGACTGGCACCCCGTGTGGTCTCTGGCTGCCACAGGCTGCAGTCAGCAGCGAGTGTGGGTGTGTGGGCATTGAGGCCACCTCATTCCACAAACCTTGCAAGCACTGTGGTCACAAGGCCAGCCCCTGGCCTCAGCTTGTTGAGCAGCTTCCAGTGCTTGTTGAGAGGAGTCCTGTTCTAAGGCGGCTTCCAGAAGGACACCCAGAGGGGGTTCGTGCTGTCCCCAGGATCTGGAGAGGCCCTGGGCTTCCTCTTTGTTAGTGGGTGCAGCCAGCGGCCATGACCTCTTCAACCTCCTCAGGAATACTCCCCTGACTCTTGTTTGTGAGCTCCTGATGATGGGGTGTGGCCACTGAACTCTGGCTGTGATTAGTATTCTACTGGCTGCCTCGAGAAAGTACTAGTCTATGTTCATATCATAAAAACCACCCTGCTTCAGAAACACTGTCTCTAAAGAAACTCTGAGTCTTAATAAGTAACTTTGAACTGTGGTGTTGGAGAAGACTCTTCAGAATCCCTTGGACTGCAAGGAGATCCAACGAGTCCATCCTAAAGCAGATCAGTCCTGGCTATTCATTGGAAGGACTGATGCTGAAGCTGAAACTCCAGTACTTTGGCCACCTCATGCGAAGAGTTGACTCATTGGAAAAGACCCTGATGCTGGGAGGGATTGAGGGCAGGAGGAGAAGGGGATGACAGAGGATGAGATGGCTGGATGGCATCACCGACTTGACAGGCATGAGTTTGAGTAAACTCTGGGAGTTGGTGATGGACAGGGAGGCCTGGCGTGCTGCGGTTCATGGGGTTGCAAAGAGTCGGACATGACTGAGTGACTGAACTGACTGACTGACTGACCTGGTGGCTCAAATAGTAAAGAATCTGCCTGTAATGCAGGAGACCTGAGTTCAGTTCCTGGGTCGGGAAGATCCCCTAGAGAAGGGAGTGGCAACCTACTCCAGTATTCTTGCCTGGAGAATCCCATGAATGGAGGACCCTGGTGGGCTACAATCCATGGGGTTGCTACGAGTCAGACACCACTGAATAACTAACACTTTTACTAAAACAGTAAAATTTTGCCATTATAAAAGTAACATTTTCTTCTTCAAAGAAAATTTGGGAAAAGAGAGAAAACTTAACTCATAATCCCTCCAGTGCAAATATAGAATGGTTACAGTTCTAGTACATTTCCTCCTACTCTGTTTTGTATATTTGTTTGCTGCATGGCACAAAGCTGTGTTTATATTAATGCTTTGCTTTATGAACTTAATATATTTTCCATGTTGTCACATGACTTGCTTTAAAAATGAACCGAATATTGAGTATCTACTGATAAGACAGAGAAAAAATGTGAGTTTCTATATATTTTACTACAGCATCTAGTGAGGTGGATATCACTATCCTTATTTTGCAGTTGAGGAAATGAAGGCTCAGAATGTTTCCATCACCTGCCCCAATTGTAGAGCTAACAAGGGCCAGCATCAAAATTCATCTGACGTGGGATTGACTCCAGGAACCTGTGTTCTTTTGAGACTTCCCTGGTGGTCCAGTGGCTAAGACTCAGTGCTTCCAATACAGGGGGCCCAGGTTCGATCCCTTCTTGGGGAACTAGATCCCACATGCTGTGACTAAGAGTTCACCTGCTGCAACTAAAGATCACTTGGGCCTCAACTAAGCCCTGGTGCAGACAACTAAATAAAAATATTATAAAAAAGAGCCTGTGTGCTTTAATGGTTATTAAGTATGCTATCTAGTTGTACTGTGTTGTGAAACTGAACCAGTGAGAACCATGGTAAGGCTACCTGCCACCTGAGACATCCCTCCTCTTTTCGGGGAAAGTCTTGTCTTCCAGGCCCAACCCCGCACACGGGCATGTGGTATAAAGGTGACTGCTTTCCTTCCTGGTGTAGATGTCTGTCCATGGGGCTCTGCTGTGTTCTTGGGCACATCTGATGGGTTCCAGGTGTCACACATGTCCCTAGTTGTGTTGTGGCAAAGGGGCCCCCACAGTAGTGTTCTTGAAAGGCTGCACCCCATCCTGGAGTTGTACCTCTGAATCTGTGACTTGGTTGCACACCCCAGACTTTCCTGCTTCCATTTTCTGGTTCCACTGGAGCCCTGTGTGTGGAGTGGGCTCTTGTGGGGTCAGACCTTTGGTGGTGGCTTGTCTGCAGTCTTCTGGGATCCACTGTACATGGGTGGGAAGCAGCGCTGCCTACCACAAACAGGCTTACAGTGGAATTTCATTACAGGTGCTTTATTGGAGAAGTTTATATCTTGCATTGTAAAGAGCTAATAAAAAGAGACAGCTATAGGCCATTTATAGGTGTGCTTCTAAAAATAAAATTCAGAGGGTTTACTAAAAGGCAGGAACCTGGTCAACAGCTGTTTTCAATGCATTTACTTCTGTTGGGAGGCAAACTTTCTCCAAAATAGCTTTGTTGTCAGTAGACTCTCCGTTCTTTGATGTGTGCCTAACGAATACATTCATTCATTTATAGGACTTGCTAATGTGTGAGCGTTTTGAAATTAGTGGTAAAGTTGCAATCTATAATGTATCATCTAGTCATCTTTGATAGGCTCAGTTTTATTTTATTTTCTTTCACAGGTTCTACATTTTTGTTTGTTTCCATGTGCTATACAATAGGGTGTAGAATCAATTTTGAGTGGTGTCTTCTCTGATTCTCTGTAGAGATCATTAAGCTAATTCTATTCTACTTGGTTTTCACAGGAAAAAAAAAAATCCCCAAGAGGACTGTCTACTAAAGTGTGTGTATGTGTGTGTGTGTTTGTGTAAAATACTCTTTTTAGATGAGCAAGTCCCAGAAGATGCTTGGTACTAAATAGCTTTCACAGTTGGGTAAGCAGCAGAGGTGGGAAGGCCTATGACCGCTGAATTATATGACATCTTTTGTGCATGCCTATTTCAGGAACCATGTTGTTGTTTAGGAAAGGTTGAAATATTTGGGAAGTTATGTCTTTCTTTTCAATCCCATGGTTAGGATGACTTGGAATCGTAATCTTGGTCACTAACCCTTTGATAAGATATTTCCCCCAAAGTCTGCTGAACTCTATAGGTCTTAGAAATGGCTATTCTCATACACATCCTGGTACTGATGCTAACCATTGTTTATCCAGTGTCAGCTCTAAGTGCCTGAAAAGTAACATCCTACCTGGTTTAATAATAGCTTATGAAGTTGATATTTTTAACTTACTTTTTTGATTGGAAAGCCGAAACTCAGATTTATTCAGTAACTTGGTTAGAATTACACAGCAGGAAAATGACAGAGGAGGAATTGAAAGGGAGGTTTGCCTGCCTCGGGATCTGTTTTCAGTTCACTCTATTGCCATCTCCTCTGCCACCCTGTCTGTTTAAGCAGGGAAGAGGTTAGTGCAAGGCTAACTGACTACCTATAAGAAAACTCTGTGAAGCTGGTTCTTTCTATTATATTATATCTGTCTGGGGAAGCCTGAGGATTTACTGTATTCTCGACATTTTTTTAGGCACCCTTAGCTCCTAGCTGTTGTGTAGATCTAATGCTTGTCAGAGTTTTGGGAAACTAATGATCAGTTGTGTGAGAATAAGATGACTTTTTAAAACCTCCTCCAAATAAATATACTCCACAGTTGAAGTGGTTTGGTAGAAACGTGTTTCTGGGAGGCAGGTGATCCAAATGATAATGGTCAAGAAGTATACAATAGACAAGTGGGTTGTCATTTCCTTCTCCAGGGGATCTTCCCAGCCCAGGGATCAAATCCACATCTCTTGCATCTTCTGTGTTGGCTGATGGAATCTTTCCTATCAGTGTATTTGAGCAAAAGACATCACTGGCTTTCTTTCTCATCCAGTTAAGTTCATGTCCCACAAGGGTTACTATGGGCTTCATGATGGTGATTGTCTAGGCTAGAGATCCTTCTAAAGGATTCAGTCCCTTAACCAGGGCCAAACTGCTTGTCTGGTTCAGCAGGAAGTGTCTACTTGAATATGCTTTTCTTGCTTTACCTGCTTGTGACTCTGAATTCACTGGTGCCCTGGGGAAGTCTTCCCCAAATCTCTGACCCAGTGCTCCTTGATAAGCCACTGGCATGGCTTAAATGACTTGAGAGTCATGCTCTAAATACTGTTGCTTCACCCGAAGAACAAATCTTCTTGCTTTTGTGGTAAAATTTGTTTCTGTGGTATTCAGACATATATTAGGTAGTATCTCGACTCAGTTAAACATGCTGTGCACCATGACAGGTTTTAGGGATATGGAGGAAGAAATACATGGTCTTTGCTCTAAAAGATTGTGCAGTCTAGCGAAGAAGACTGCGTGTCAGAATGTAAAAAAGTGTCAATTGAAAAGACGTCACTTTTTATTAAACATAAGAAAAGGTAAAATCGTTTTCAGAAGGGCTTGTGAAGGGGAATTTTCTGGTGCTTTAGGAAGACAACCTGTTAATGGTTGTCAATGGGATCTTATGCCTGATGATTTAAGGTAGAGCTGACATAATGATAATAGAAATAAAGGGCACAATAAATGTAATGCACTTGAATCATCCCAAAACCATCCTCCCCGTACCAGTCCATGGAAAATTTGTCTTCCACAGAAATGATCCCTAGTGCCAAAAAGGCTAGGGACTGCTGCTTTAGAGGGGGAACAAAGGAAAAGGTCCTGGGGTGATGTGTCCTCTTTCAAGCTTCCTCTTGAGGGGATAGTGTAGGGTGCCTCCTGAGGGCAATATTGGTATTGCCAGCCTGGTCATGTGGAGACCAGTTAGGAAGTTTCAACAAATGCATTAGCCATGGGGCTGGAGTTTATTGCTTGACTCTCTGTAGCCCACGTCACATGAGCTCTCATGCTCTTTGTGGGCACCTCTCTAAATTGGTCATCATGCATAGATGCAAACAGCCTTACAAGTAAAATACCACTGTTCAGCTCAATGAGTTTGTGTGTGATTTCTTTCTAAAATGGAGAGAAGTGAAACCTGGTGTTTCTTGACTTGGTGTACCATTGCTGCTGCTGCTTCTTTTTTTTTTATAATTCAATGTTTTAACACATTGAGTTATAATTGGCATTTAATTGTATAAGTTTGAGGAATACAGTGTATTGGTTTGGAACATTATATATTGCAATACAATTACTACAATAGCATTAGCTGACACTTTTATGAAGTCACATAATTATTGTTTCTTTTTTGTGTTGAGACCTACTAAAATCTAGTCTCTTAGCAACTTTTTGAAGTTTCATATATTACAGTATTGTTTATTATAGTCACTATGTTGTGCATTAGATCTCCAGAGCTTTT